GCCCAGGCGCTGCTCATTTCCCTAAAAGCTTCCCGATAAATTACTCCTGCTCTTGCTCTATAAAAGGCACTTTGGCTCACGCAGTCGCTAACAGGCCGCAGCTCCCCACCGCCCACCCCGGGACCCGCGGAGGACGCTGAGCCCCGCGGGGCCGTGCACATCCCTGCAGCATCCTTTGGGAGCCGGGTACCAGCCGTCCCCCCGGGGCTGCGCGGCAGCAAGGGAAGGAGCCGAGAGCCCTGTCCTGCTTCGGCGTTTTCCTCCCCGTTGCGCGGCTCTCTGCAAACAGCCTTTTTCCCCAGGTTAGCCCACACCGGCTGCATCCCGGCCCCGGCAGTGATACATGCCATCATTACATCTCCTGGCACCACGCTGTAAAATACACCCCCATAAAAGCCTGTAATTTACAGGCTCCTCTAAGTACCTGGGAGGTACACGGCTCCATGAATACACGACACCTTGCGAGCGATACGCAGCTCGGCCCCGACGGCCGGAGATCGCACAAGCTTTTGCAGGAAAACCTGATTTTAATTAAACCCCCTCGCCAGCCCCTCTCGGCCTCCCCCGGAGAGGCTGGTGCTTGACAGGGCATGCTCTCAGCTTTCAGGCTTTGCTGGGAGCTTCTGCGTCAGGAGCAGCTCATCTCTTCGGGAGCGAGGAAGAGCGCGGAGGGTCTGTAGCCACGTTTGTGTTTTACATTGTAATTTTAATTTACAGTTCGGTTTTGCAGCTCGCCCAGGGAGCTGCCTGCTGCTCCAGCCCGCTCGGCTGGAGACGTGTTTCTCTACCAAATGTAAGCTGGTTCTGGGGAGTGGTTTCGAAGCCACGAAGCTTGTGAGCATTGGGTAAAACACCACCTCCCGGACGAGCTGCCCTCCCTAGAATGCTCCAAAACACACCGGGACTGGAGCACACAGAGCAGGGATGGGACCCGGGGGCTGACGGAAGCACGTCTCCAAACACAGGTGAGGAACTGCAAAGTATTTTGATGGCTGGTTGTGAAACAGCCGGCACACACTTCGCCACCGTCCTCAAAACATCCACGGGAGAGCCGTTGTTCTTCGATTTGCCTCTGCTGGCAGCAGCGGCGGCAGCCGTGGCCTCGTTAGGAAGGTGGCTGCGCGCGG